TGTGCTTAAATAACCAGTTGCCGAACGCACACTCTATACTGCAGGTGGGCGGCCACTCTGCGCTGGATCACATACATGTACGTGATCCAGCATTTCCGGGTATGGAGTGTGCGTGCTCATTTGGTACTACACAAAGATTTATGGCTGGGACCTGCTGATCAGCTCTAGCGAATCACAGTACAGAGCCCTGTGTTTACTAATAACACAGGGCTCTGCACTTGGGGCAGCCATGTGGCTGTTTTTCTCTCTCTGCAAAGCAAGGAGAAAAAACAGCCACATTTCTTGTTAACAGCAGCACACATTAGACATATAACACATTCTTAGTCACACAGTTAAGCCCCTAGATCGGGTGTCGGCAATCCGCGGCTCCAGAGCCGCATGCGGCTCTTTTTCACCTTTGCTGCGGCTCCGGAGCACACTGCCCACCAGGTGACAGGCAATAGGGTCTTCTGTGTGCCGGGCGCCCCCCGCTCCCCTCCCTCCTCTCGGGCGGCCGCCCCCAAAAGTCAGGACTCTGCAGCTAGCCCAGCAATGGGCAAACTACGGCCCGGCGGACCTTTTAATCCGGCCTGCGGAGCGTGGCAAACATTGGCTGTCAGGATGTAGGCGGGGCAGCGTGACGAACTCCTCTCCTCTCACAGTCCGCCCTGAAGACCGGAACGGCGCGGGAACACGGCGAGAGGAACGCGCGGAGCAAAGGTAAGTGAATTGACACAATATGGGGAATGAATTACTATAGGGGGAATGAATTACTATAGGGGGGATGAATTACTATATGGGGGATGAATTACTATATGGGGGATGAATTACTATGGGGGATGAATTACTATAGGGGGGATGAATTACTATATGGGGGATGAATTACTATGGGGGATGAATTACTATATGGGGGATGAATTACTATAGGGGATGAATTACTATATGGGGGATGAATTACTATGGGGGATGAATTACTATACGGGGGATGAATTACTATGGGGGATGAATTACTATGGGGGATGAATTACTATGGGGGATGTATTACTATGGGGGATGAATTACTATGGGGGATGAATTACTATGGGGGATGAATTACTATAGGGGGGATGAATTACTATGGGGGATGAATTACTATATGGGAGATGAATTACTATGGGGGATGAATTACTATATGGGGGATGAATTACTATATGAGGGATGAATTACTATGGGGGATGAATTACTATATGGGGGATGAATTACTATATGGGGGATGAATTACTATGGTTGGATGAATTACTATATGGGGGATTAATTACTATGTGGGGGATGATTTACTATGGGGGATGAATTACTATATGGGGGATGAATTACTATGGGGGATGAATTACTATATGGGGGATGAATTACTATATGGGAGATGAATTACTATGGGGGATGAATTACTATATGGGGGATGAATTACTATATGGGGGATGAATTACTATGGGGGATGAATTACTATATGGGGGATGTATTTTCAGTTTTAAAAATGTGGCTCTCAAAATAAATTTCAATCGTGGTTTTGGCGAGATTTGGCTCAGTTGAAAAAAAAGGTTGCCCACCACTGCCCTAGATGTTACCTTTTCCCAGCCAGTGTCATTAGTAGCTCCAAGGAGCAGGGCCCTCCTAACCCTCCTATATTGAACTATTGTTGCTGTATTGTCTCCCTTTATATTGTAAAGCGCTGAGCAAACCGTTGGAGCTATATAAATCCCGTATAATAATCATTAGTACAGTGACAGTGTATAGTATTTTCACTGATCACTGTATTAGTGTTACTGGTGATGTCAGTGTCAGTTGACTCCCACCCAGTGTCAGTTAGTGTCAGATTGTCCCCCACACTATCACTGTCACACTATAAAACGCTGATCACCACCATTACTAGTATAAAAAAAAAGAATAAATAATTTCAGTATATGTATGTATGTGTGTATATATATATATATATATATATATATATATATATATATATATATATATATAATATATATATATTTTTTTTTTTTTTTTTTTTTTTTTTTATTTTTTTATTTCTTTTTGCATGTTGCAGAATACATTTTGGCCTAAATTTTAATTTTTTTTATTGGATATGTTTTTATAGCAGAAAGTAAAAAATATTGGTCATGAAGGGGGTAAAACGTTATGGAGCCTAAGTGGATAAACCAAATGCAGGAGGCTAGTGGGAGGATCTATTTGTCCCGTTGCGTTTTAATGCACGCATTCTGTCATGCTAACATTCCTGTGTTTTACGGTAATAAAAATAGTTTCTGTTCCCCTCTCGGTGTTGCAGTGCAGTGCATTGTGAAAAATAGGATATTTCTATATTTTTCTTTGCATCTTATTGTGTTGGGAGGCCCATCAAAGTTAATGACAGTACATCAGAATGCACATAACATGCATTTTGAAGTGTTGGAAACAGGTATTAATGAGCCATTCTCAATGGCTGTTAAATCCTACCCACTCCAAATTCTAAATTCAAAAAAGCATTGAAAATGCATGTCAAAACACATGTCAACGCATAAAGGAAACACCTTGATGTATGACAGGTACCTGCCTAACACTACAAAGAAAAACCCCACACCTCTACACACATGCATAGATCTAACTTGGCCCTGAATTCTCATTCTGTATGTAGCAGTAGATGTGATTGTCCTCTCCAGGCTGTAGTGGCGTTATTCTTTGTTTCAGCTTTCATGTGAGAGAGGAAGTGCATTTAGTGGTTTTGTAGCAATGTGAGCTTTGCCTTCGCTCCCCATGATGCTTCTTTTTTTGTTCCTGAAATCTAATGCTGCTTTTTTCTGTTTTGAAAGATTTATATGAAGTATTTGAACCAGGGGCGGACTGACCATTTGGAAACTCGGGCACTGCCCGAGGACCCAGGGTCAGTAGGGGGCCCCATGAGATGCCTCTGGTATCTTTTTCATAGGCTTTTTTGAGTTTGGACAAGGACACAGGGGCCCCATGATCCCCTATTGCCCAGAGGCCCCATGTGTTGTCAGTCCGCCCCTATTTGAACATTACATAACAATGGTTAACTACAGGAACGTCAAAAGCCAAAGCATTAGCCAAAAATTTTATTACACACTTTTTTTGGTTTAATTTACCCTTTTTTCCAATATACTGTAGGTAGTTAGAAGAGGTAGTTACAAGTTACAAGAGAATAGATGCAGGTACAGATGTTACCCTTGTCACAACCTCCCTGTCCTCCAGAGGAGAGCAGCAAAGTGGCACAGAAAGGACGCAGAGCAAAATTGTGGATGTGGCCAGGGCACATAACTGTGTATCGAACAGGACCCAAGGCTCGGGAATGTGTAATGCAAAGAGTGCAGTGCTCCGGGGTGTGTAATACACACCATCAATACTCCCTTGTGCCTGAAAAAAGAGGCCCTTACACTCCTAAGGCTTGAACTCTGTGTATTACGCACCCCGGAGCACTGCACTCTTTGCATTACACATTCCCGAGCCTTGGGCCCTGTTCGATGCGCACTTCTGTGCTCTGGCCACATCCACAACTTTGCGTGCTGTCTGTGCCACTTTTCTGATCTCCTCTGGGGGACAGGGAGGTTGTGACGAGGGTAACATCTGTACCTGCATCTATTTGTACAGATGTTACCACCCTATACGTTTATATCTTCTTGGTGGACTATCAACACCCATCAACCCACATCTCTCCTCTAGGCTGCCTGCATTTTTGGAACACTGGGATCAACTCATGGACATTCACTAAATAATATTTACAGCAAAGTGCAAGTCCATCTACCAGGCCGTCTTTTTTTTTTTTTTTTTTTTTGCCAAGTTGACTTTTGGGATATTTACCTGTTGAATACGTGCTCATATATTTGGGGACATGACAGGTGGTTTGTGTGTATTTTTTATATGTAACTAACTAGTTACCGTTTTTTGTCAGGTGTTTTCACAGATACTTCTTTTTTAGATGAATGTTAATCAAGACATCTGTTGGGGATTAATTATTTTGTTCACCCTTATTTTTTAATAAGTTTATATTGCATGCTTTGTAGTGGTTGTCATGATTCCATTTTTATGGTATTGTTTTGAATTTTGAGTAATGTGGATTGCTCCCTCCTCTTAGATCTATGAGATCATTTTCATTATTATCATTTTGTGACCTAGTAGGATACTCCCTTTTTTTTTTTTTTCCTGGTAAACACAGAAGCTGGCAGAGGAAGCAGGTAGTGCATAAGACTTCCTCTACCAGCTTCTGTGTTTAAAAGAGACAAGTTGGTGAGCACAGAGCCAGTGCTGGAGATGGTGGTGGAGATGGATACTTAATTATTATTATACAGTATTTATAAATCGCCAATAGTTCACTCAGCGCTGTACATTACAAAGGGGACAGAACATGTGACAGAACAACAACAATACAATGCAAAACATGAAGGGATTGAGGGCCCTGCTCTTTCGAATTTACAATCTAGGAGGGAGGGGATGGTAGAGTGGAGGAGGTTGGCAAGTTAATAGTAACATTTCTATGCCCTGTTGATCATTTTCTGAAGATATGGTGGAAATTCTCCCTAAATCTTACATGTTACTATCTGACTGTAGAATCTTTGTACAATCTCTTTTAGATTTACCAAAACTGTGTACTATAAGCACTTACCTAAACTAATCAATCAGGTAGGCCATTTTTCTACTTGGTACATACAGTACGTTTTATTTATCAGTGACTTTTCCCTTGATTCACTGGCTAATATCATTGATAAATAATGTTCAAATTCAGCTCTAGGTGATGGTTGTCCAGTGTCTTTGGTTCCTACTCTTTGATTTAATTGACGTTATCAATACTGTGTATCATTTTTATGTGCAGGTAGAGCAGATGCTGATATTCACTATTTTATTTTTCCACTTCCATTTCCTCGTGATTAGGCCCTAATTAGAAATTCTCACTTTTCACTGACTGATGTTCCTTATTAGACAAGAGAGCTTTATCTTTTAGGAATAATGAGAAGAATCTAACAAAACCGGTTTACTGTCTTCCACAGCTCTGACTCTGAGGGAAACTTTGACACGCCTGAAGCAGAAACTCCAATCTCATCTCCATTGAAGGAGCCAATACGAGGTAACCAGCACTGAGAATGTCTGTATCACATATATAATAAAATCTTTCTGAATGTTTCTGTTGAGAGCAGTAAGACTGTATCATACAGGAGGAGCTTATCTTTCCTCATGATTATAAAAGAATAGTTTACCTGCTGCTTAGTCAGAGGGGCCTCTTGGTAAGTAGGATGAGAAGAACAGCCAAGGCTTCCCTGAGACCATCAATAAGCTGGCCATGAAGCTACTGTGTTGGCTAGACAAGTGGGTGTAATGTGACTCTGAAAAAGTAGTTTTTGCCCAGTAGCCATGAATGCTCAGCACTCCTGAATTTGTCCCATTGATCATTTTCTCTAAAAGAACAGTCAGGCTGTGGTGACAAAATGTGTCATAGACATAAGACTGTCACCCAGTCTGGTGTACAAATCTGCTGCACAAGTTCCTCACTAGGGGGGAGAACCTTTGGGGGAATCCAGGGTGGAAGAAATTCTGGGAATCCTAGTGGATGATAGACTTAACAATAACATGCAATGCCAAGCTGCAGCAAGCAGAATATACATTAGAAAAGGTATCTAATCAAGAGATAAGACTATAATTCTACCACTTTAAAAAACTCTGGTGCGGCTGAATCTTGAGTATGCTGTCCAGCTCTGGTCGCCAGTCCTTAGGAAGAATGTGCTGGAACTGTAGAGAGTCCAGAGAAGGTTAAAGCTTATACGGGATTGGAGGACTTCAGTTATGAAGAACGACTTCAAGAATTAAACTTATCTTCCTTGGAGAAGAGAGGCCTAAGCAGGGATATGATAGTGAAATACAAATATCTCACCGAAAGAAAATTATTCAGTCTCGGGAGCTTAATAAGACACTTAGCTACTCAATGAAATTGGAGAAGAAGCAGTTTAACCTCAGCGTAGTAAGGACGTGGAACTCCCTTCCGCAATCAGTGTTGTCAGTGGGGAGTGTCGGATAATTAAAAAAAAACTCTTAGATGGGCATTTCGAACCAACAGCCCCAGTACTACCAGGCGGAAGTGCTAACCATTTAGCCACTGTGCTGCATAATAATTGTTTGTGCTTGGACAGTAATTGAATGGGTAGGGGAGGCACAAATATAGTTCTTGACCAGGTGCCCTTTGGGGGTTATGCCTACCACTTTTGGGCACGTAAGAGGAAAGTGGAGATGTAGGGATATTTTTGAGGCAATGAGAACTTTGTGTATAAGCAGATTACCACTGGAGAAGGACACTTGGGAAAGTATCAAGTACATTAGTAAGGGCGTAGCTGCCATGGAGGGGGTTCATAAAATTGAGAAGAAGGAGCACAGTGGACACAAATAGCGAACAAGTACAAATTCACTTAGGGAATAATGGATGCAAAGCAGGGGAGCAGAGGAAGGCAAAAAAGGGAGTTGGAGGACACAAGGGGTCACAATACAAGGGACTACACCACTGAGGTTGGAGTAGGAATAAATGAACCACATGTGCAGTGTGATAATTAAAGCAATTCTGCCAATCTGGGCTGTATGAGTTATTGCAGATATATAACTTCAAAATCTTCAAAATCCAACATTTTCAGATGCCCAAACCCTTGCTGTGATCTGTGGTTCTTCCTACTGGCCTGTACATCACTGCAGGACTCAGCAATGACATAACGGCTGGAGTATCAAACCACTGAGCACAGCTGAGGACCAGGCACATGGCATACCGGGAAGTGTGCCAGATGCAGAAAATTCTTCAGGTAGCTGGTTCTCTGCAATACAGTGCAGATTGGTGGCTCAGTAGCTATGTATGGACTCTCTTCTTTGAGAAGGGGGGAAGGATCTGGTTTTTGCAATTCTATTCTAGCAGTAGAGGCACTTCAAAGGAGAGCCAAGAAAGGGGGAGTTAAGCACAGGATGAGAGCAAAGAGGGAGGTGGTGTGTGCATCCTGAGGGTGCAAGAAGCTCCCACCAACACCAAGAGGAAATGCCCTTCTGTTTTTTCACTATACAGAATTATGATGAATACTACAGGACTGGGAACCACCACAACTCCATTGTAGGTTGATGCATGGCCACAAACAATGGCAGGAAGACCATCTAAGAGACATAAGAATCCAGTGGGGTTTCCAAAACTAAAATATCAATTTTGGGTGAACTGACCTTATAAAAGGCACAGAAGCACTGTTGTGCTGTAAAATGAAGATCTGCATTGTATGTACTGATATTATCACTGTAGCCTGCAGTGTATGATGATGACGGCCATGTCTTTGTAACATTTACAGGGCTCATTCCTCCATATCGCATATTATGCATTGTGGGACTAATCTGCTCATCGCTAGAAAATAAAAGCTTTTATGCTTCTTCTGACAGCTTGTTTTGCTTGGTTTATGATTCAGATGTGCAGTATGTGGGCGAATGACTCACAGGATCTAAGGAATCCAAATATATCCCACAATCTGCCAAACCGCTCTCTGCCTGGCCCGACTTCTTATATGTATAGATATGTTCTGAAGACTTTTCCTGAAGATACTTTCTTTAACTATGTCTACTTCGTGGTGTTCTCAGTAGAACCACTAATAGTATTCTGTGTTCTGATGTTCCTGGCCCCATTATTAAAACAAAAAGAGCTGCTGAGAACATTCAAAATATGCCTGTAGGACAATGAGCTGTTTGGCTCTCATACAGTCTTCCTGTGCAGCTCATTGTTCTATTTTAGCTGCTGTGTTAAACTACAAGCAGGCTCGAAAGCGACAGGAATTTTTCTTCTGTTCGTTTACTGAACAGGAAGCCATCTCTGCGTAGGAAAATATTATTCCCCATGTTAAGTTTTTCCATTTTTATGTTTTGCATCCATATACATAAAGTTTACTTTACATAAACCGACTGGCAGTTTGTATTTTTAATTTTGTTTAATTCTTGCAAACAGGGAATGGTCAGTATTTCTGCCTCTCGTAGGCTGTTCCCTGTTTACCCTGAAGAGATTTTTTTTCTCTTCCTCTTTTATCTGACACCCATTGCCTGGACAGGGAGTAGAGGAAATCTCCCTAATGGGGACATCAGTAAAATCCTGACTTTTTTTTACTACGCACCTGTCAAACAGAGAGGGGACCATTTCTTCTTCTGTCTGATGCTCTGCTTTTGCTTTTTGTTTTTTTTGTGTTTTTTTTAATTCCACTGCTGCCATGTTTTTTTTATTAGAGCCTCAAATTGGGTTTTATTTTTGTATCAGTCCACATTGGGGAGATTCCCTTTTTAAAGTGATACTAAACATACAATGTTTAATTGCCATTATCCCTTCTAAGCAGGGGCGGACTGACAACTCATGGGGCCCCTGGGCAATAGGGGATCATGGGGCCCCTGTGTCCTTGCCCAAACTCAAAAAACCTATGAAAAAGTTACCAGGGGCATCTCATGGGGCCCCCTACTGACCCCAGGCCCTCGGGCAGTGCCCGAGTTTCCAAATGTTCAGTCCGCCCCTGCTTCTAAGTACCTTATTTATTCATCGCTGTTCAGAGGTCACATGACGTTTCCCAGGTCTTTTCCGTTCCCAAGAAAAATCTGAGGGAGGAATTTCTAGTACTCAGCTGATGTATGATCTATAGCTTCATAGGAGGTCTGGACTATGAATCTGCGTCTGTACAGCACTGATTGGTACTGTGCCTGTCACATGACATAACAAAAAATAGCTTTCAGAATAGAGAATCAAAACAAATAATAGCAATAAAGTGTTTTTAAATCTTCATACAAATGTATATTTCAAAGCAAATGTTTATTTTTGCAATACAATTGTGTAGTTGAAGTTTAGGTGGGCTGACAATAGCTTTCACTTGGTTCACACTGTAAAGATATCTGGAAGGAGGTTCTGCCAATCACAGGCTGTGTTACATCCTTCCAGCCTGTTTCTATGTTGTGTATGTGCTCAGACTAACAAGGAGGTGAAGCCTCCATCAATCACCATCTTATGTTCTGCACCCATAGTATTTAGCAAAATGAGGAGGAGGAAGGGGGAGTGTCATGTTTCCCTGTGTTTATGCCCAAGTGTGTAACTCTATAGTTGTGTGGGCTGCTTAGATAAGAAAAAGGAGAAAATTAACAGTTTAGAAAGGAACCAAAACTGGAGCATGCTCAATAGATGCGGCAAGAGCTGGTTTACACATTCTCAGGCTGCAGCTGCAGTGGGGATACAGATAAGGAGGGAGGGGCGGATCAACCAGGTTTTTTGCAATCCACAGAAAGAAAATGTTATAGTAGCACAGTGAGTATGTATGTATATATGTGTGTGTGTGTGTGTGTGTGTGTGTGTGTGTATATGTGTGTTTGCGTGTGTAATATGTGTATATATATTGTGGGAACTCGCTTCAAGTGGTAGAGCTCTTCTTGTTAAAGCACACAGCAACTCGCTTCTTTAAGGGCCTTTTTGCCCAATTTTATTTAAAAGAAAGTTCAAATAACACAAATGCTTCCCACGCAGGGGTATCCACGATCAAACAAATTCAGCCTTCTGGCTCTTTCAGCTACACAGCTTTATATCTGTCTCCCACAGACTTCTTCCACAGGGTTGTTTTAGCACACAGCTATTCTCAAACAGCTCCTTGCTGCTTTTGGCTTCCACCTCTCCTTGGTGGAGCCCTCCTGACTCCTATCTGCCGGGGTGGAGCCCTCCTGACTCCTATCTGCCGGGGTGGAGCCCAGAATCATGGCCTGGCCTCCCCTAAAAGGCCTGCACACACCTGTGCAATCAGCACGCTGGCTGCTCCCAAAATATGGGCCCAGGATTGGAGATTTCATCCCTCCCAAATCTCTAAGAAATCTCCAGGCTACAGGTCCCAAAACAGGCTTTACAAACCAAAGAGGAAACTGATAAACCAGTTTCCTCTGCATTATGAGATCCGCCTGGAGCCCCTCAACCTGTATAGTTGAGAATCCTGGGTGTCCATCATGATTTCCATCGTGGCAGGATACCGTACTGCCACTATATATATATATATATATATATATATATATATATATATATATATATATGTGTGTGTGTATATGTGTGTGTAT